GGGTGACACTTAGCGTAGCTGCAAGTGGCTCAGTCTGGACTGGAAAGAGCCAAAGGATGCAGGAGACACAGGGCAGGGGAGGCTGGCTGGCTGGCTGGCTGGCTGGGTGGGTGCAAGGACAGGGCTGCAGAGCCTTGGAACTTGGGTAGGCGCAGGAGAATGGCATCTTCCTCACCATGACTTGGGAGGGACAAAGGTTTGGAGCATGGTGGATTTGGCATGGTAGCAGGCTCTCCAGGAGGAGAAAGTCACCGGCAAGGGGCTTAATGTGTGAGACAAGCTTAGAAGGGAAAGAGGGCCTAGGAGGCCTCCTAACAGAGGCAAAGGCAGGAGGTATAGAACGGGTGACCTCACTGGGGTAAGAGTTGAGACAGGACAGAAAAGGACCATAGGATCCCACGTGTGTGGAGGATCCGATCTTTGAGAGCAGAGAGGTGCAGTGTGTCCAGGGATACATGGGAATGTGTACACAGGACAGGAGTGGGAAGGAGGAGAGAAGCCATCATTGCAGAGACCAGTGGGGCTGTGAGAGGGTAGCTGAGTCCCAGGTCAGGCCACCTTCTGAGGGGTCTGCAACAGCGGGGGTGGCCAGCCCTGCGAGGACCAGGAGAGATGACACCCGCCAGCATCTGCAGAAGCTGGGAGATGGAACAGGCGGCGCAGCAATGCAGATCGCCCTCCACCCAACTCCTCTAAGGCAGGGCTCCCCTGGTGCTGGCTGCAGGGCCCTTCCACAAACATGACGGGACCCTATGGGTCTAGCTGGTCCTGATCCCATGATCTGCTAACATGGAACAGAGCTGAAGGGCAGCGGGGTGAAGGCAGCAGCGCTGTTTAGGAAGGGAGACACCAGGGCACAGCTGTAGCTAGGCAGCAAGGAATCCCTGCGAAAGGAGAGGCCAGAGAGGGCAGAAAGAAGGTGGCAGTGGGAGGAGCAGGGTCCATGAAACAGAGATGGACACAGAGCCCAGCGTGTGTGAGGCTAGGAAGGGACCTGGGGGAACAGTGCAGAGCACAGACACCAATGACACAGAGGAGGCGGGCCCACAGGTGGGGCAGGGCTGAAGGGAGAAGGTGTGGGAGAAGGTTGGGCAGAAAGCACGGAGCAAACAGATGGAGACAAGATCTGAGCTCAGCGGAAGACAGGACAAATGCAGATTGGCAGCCGGAAGCAGGGATGGCGGAGACAACCAGACCTGAGGACAGGTCTGGGGGAAGATGGGTTAGCATCATGGTGGAGATGATTCTAGAAGCTAAGGGGGAAGCTCTTAAATGCTGAGCTGCTGAGTTTGAGCTGGATTGGAGCTTCTGCCTGGGAGGGGGTGGAGCTAGAGGGCCAGGCATAGCAGAGGGCATGACACAGGATGGCGGGGGGACTCTATGAGTGTGCTGCATTGGGAAGGTGGGAGGCAGGCTGCTGCGTGACAGGGAACATGATCTCTGAGCTGAAGGTGACGGGGAGCTTTGACGTGTGATCAGGCCCACTGTCACAGCAATGGACAGCCAGCCTTCTCTCCTCCCCATTTTCTACCTGACCTAACGCACTGCTGTCCTTGAAGTCATCTCATCTCCTCTCATGCTGACCTGCTGCTCTGAACACCCCTGAGCTATGGCCAGGGGTCCTGCATACCCTGCAACGCCTTCCCCTGCGCAGCTGAGTGCAGTTCCCAGGCACAGTGTAGGCAGGGCCTGGGGCTAACCCTCCCCTTCCCTGGTCACCCTGCCCAGCTCCAAAAGTAAGTGCTTGTGGATTGTGTGACTAAGAACAAAACACAATACTACAGACAGGGCTTGGCTGAGGACTCCCATCCCAGGACCAAGGTATCCTTAAGTATCCTAACGGGTATCATAAAACTCTTCCCTAAATACTCTCTACTCTAGAGTGAATTTAAAATTTACTGACATGCTCAAAGTAAGTATCCACAGGGCTGATCTTGAAAGGAGGAGACACATTGAAAAGCCGAAGTCTGTAAGATTGGGGCTCACTTTGGGAAGTATGGGGGGGGCCGACAGCTGTCCTGTGGTGATGGTGTAAGGAGTGCCTCGGGTAACAGTGCAGCAATAATGTGGAACCTGCCACAGAAGAGGTGTGTGGGGAATGGGAGCCGAGACGCATCCGTACGCTTGCTGGTATTAACCAATAAATCATTCACACGTCCCAAGTGTACCCTGGCAAGAATAAGAGACAACACAGCTATGTGTGGAGCTTTAAAGGATAAATCATTCAGGATTACCACTTACAAGGGAAAACCCACAAATGGCCACCCAGGGACTGAATTAGGATCATCTTCCTGGTAAGAGTTACTGATTCCTGTCAGCTATCTCTGAAACACAGGCATGCGTGTAGAAGGAAAGAACCAATGCCGATCTTGTCTTGAGTTGTGCTGTTTTGCTAAATAGCACCTCATACAGGAGTTGTCCTGTCCTGCTAAGGGCCACGCCCCTTGCGCACCCACACATGGGTGTGGGAGTGTGTGAACACACACAGGTACATGCTCCTGCAGATCAGAGTGACTGCCAGTCTGGAAGCAGGGCCCAGTGGTCTCGGTGCAGCTGTAGGGACTATACGGAAGCTCCAAGGACAGTCAGATTCCCAGACCCCCGAGAGGCAGGAAGTACAACCCAACAAGTCCCTCTTCTCCCTCCTCAGGTCTTCCTGGCTTTTAAGAAGCTCCTTAAACTTCCCAAGTTCTCTAGGAAGGAATTCATCCACTCAGATTCTAATCACTGAGCTCCTATTTGGGTCAGGCACCCACATCTTAAGAGGCGCTCTTGTTATGGAAGGAGAAATTCAGACTACTGCCCTTCCAAGAAGTTGTGTCCCATCAGAAGGGTTCCAGAAAGGTTACAGCTGGAGAACACAGGAACCTGGCAAGGGAGGGCTCCCTGCAGGACAGGACGTCTGAACAGACATCTGAGGCTATGCAGTGTCTGCCTCCTTTCCAGCAGGAAACAGGAAGGAATTTAGGGAAGGGCATTCCAGGTGGAAGGAAGAGCACACACCAAGGCAGGAGGTGACACAGATCCCGAGCTGCATGTGGAGCCGGCTGAGGTGGGCTAGTCCTGAGGACAGGCAGGAGGAGGGAACTCACAGGACAATTCTGATTTCAGCTGAGAAGGGCAGACAGCACAGCGGGGAAGGAAGCTGTGAGGACAGCACTGGCACCTGAGGGCAGGGGCCCACGGGGGCTGCTTCTGGATGGGGTATGGGCCGTGAATAGACAGAAGGGAACAGAAGCTTTTCAGAGGTCGGGTCAAAAGACTTCAGGAAGAAGAGCCGGCCAGACAGCTCAGCAGACTAAAGCGCCTGCTTAGGCAGAGCACAATAGCCAGGGTTCAATCCTCTGTGCGCCGTGAGGTGCCATGCATTGCGGGTCCCACCCCCAGGGCGCGTTGAGAACACTGGGTGTGGTGGCGTGTGCCTGTCATCCCAGTGCTTGGGAGGCTGAAAACAGGAGAATCACTATGAGTTTGACCTATGTAGTGAGACCCTGTAAACTCTGTACTAAATACACTAAAAAAAAAAAAAAAAAAAAAAAAGACAGCAGGATGAATATCCCAGCAGCCACACTGAACCCCCACACCCTCTAGCTCAGCAAGGACAGACCAGCTTGGGCTCTCAGTTGGAATGGGAATACCACCGCCCACTAACCTTCCTCAAATTTCTCACTGTTCAGAGAAACTAAGGCTGGAGCTGAGATGGGGAGAGACCAAAGCCTCTGGGAGCTGGACCCGCTGCTCTGACCTTCGCTCCCACTGCTGCTTCTGCCCCAGCCTCCTGCCCAGGCAACTTCTCACCCGCATGAGGTCTCTGCACACCTCATCAGATCACCTAGCTCTCAGCACCACTTTACTGCTCAGTACCCCAAACCCCACTTCCCCAGCTCCCAGCTCTATCTTTTGTCCTTCAGCTTTACGACCTTATAATTCATCATCTGGGGATGGGTCCAACAGCCCTAAATTCGAAACTCCAAAATTGTAAACACTGCCAAACTAGAAACCTTTTGAATGTTGATATCACACAGTCATGTGTTTCAGACTTTGCATTTTTGAATTAAGAATGCTAATCTAGTAAAGTTTGTGGAAAAATCCCCCAACCTGAAAAAAAAAAATATGCAGTTTGAAACACTTTCAGTCCCAAGCATCTTAGATAAGGGACATCCAAACTATACTGATTTTTTAAAATTATTTCTTTCATTCCATCACTGGAATGCCATCTCCCACAAGCAGGGATTTGGGACTTGGTTCACTGAGGTATGTGGGGTGCCTAGAGGGTGCCAAGTACAGAGCAGTACCCAATAAACGTTCACTGGATGGATCAATGAAAGTATTCAGTGACCCACTGCCCGCCGAATGAACGGCACTCAAATTCCGGAGCACGACCGGCCTGCTTTCCGGCTTACCTTTCTCCCTTTCCCTACCAGCGCCTATTTCTGAGGAAAGCTTCCACTTCTCAGCATTTCCTACACACCTAACAACACTCTCCCTCATTCACTTTCACCTCTCCAGTTGTTCCTGCCTTTCTGACTCAGGCTTTTTTGACTGACTTAGAAATATTTTTCCTTCAGGCCTTTCTGACCTGTGTGGGCTGGAACCTCCCTCTCCTCTGTACACACAGCTCTACCTTTGTGTCTCCCTCTTGGCTTTTATTCCACTTTGTTTATAGTAGATCAATAATCCCAACCCAAGGTTCCTGGGCCCCAGGAGCTTATGAAGGTCATGACAGAGGTCCCTGAGAGGTCTTTTTACCATTTCAAAAAGCTTAAAAGAAACAGAGACGTGTGCAGGCCTTGCACGCTTAGCAGGGCTAAGGCTGAGTCTGCTTTACGGTGCAGTCTCTGCTTTGGGCTGCAGTACTGTGACAACACTGGCTATTTCCTGCTGACAAGAAGCTGTGTCGGGCAGGGACATACACTTTTGACTAGCCAAAAAGGGGAGGGGAGAATAAAACCCAATTATTATTGCTTAATTCACGCAGTTGGTTTCATTGACAAATCTTTGAAAACATTAGGTCTTCGGGGAGGGGGACAAATAAGACACTGGCTGTGCATGCACTTGACTTATTTCATCTGCTAAATTATAGCCTCTTGGATACAGCCTGACTCTTACTCATCCTTGGTTTCGATGATTAAGCACCAGACCGGGCACATGGCAGAAGTGAGGGGTTAATTTGGTAATTATTGGGGAAAACTCAACGAAGTAAAAAGGCAGATGGTCCTTTGCCCTAGGTTTCATCAAGATCTCTCTTTGCACCATCTGGAAGTGAAGAGAGGCCACTGAAACCCACAGACACCCACTTGGAGGTACCCATTGGGGGAGGGGGGGCTCATCTTAAGTTCAACAGGCCCCAAGCAAGGGGAGTTGCTGGGAGAGTGCCCCCAGGGTACTGGATTCAGCACCCCACCATTATGGGAAGGTCCCTTGGCTATCTAGGAACCCCTGAAAGAGGCATCGACAAACTGTGGACTCTTTCTACCCCATCACTCTTCCTCAGCTGCCTGGGAGTTCATCAAATATCATTTCCATATGAAACAGCAACTTGTGTGTGATTACACTGCCATAAATTAGCCCGTCCTGTGATTAGCACTCCTGTGTTCTGTTCCCCGGGAGCCTGCGAGCTCTTAGCACTCTTGGAAGCACCCTAAGCAGCTGCAGCTGGGAGGCTTGGGAGACCCCTCTTACCAGGATGGTGGTGACAACCAGGGTGGTGTTGAACAGGCTGTCAGAGATGTTTGAGGCGTAGAGGCGGCTGTCCATGCTGAGGCCTTCTGCCACATGCCACTGGCCAATCTGAGGAGACACGGGAAAGGATTGGGAAGACACAGGAAGGAGCCTCTTCAGCTACCGGCCTCCTGGAGTTGCCAGAGCCCAGAGGCCAGGGCCCTGCCTCTGCCAGGCTTCGCGTATGCCACAGGAAGGAGGGGCTGAACCAGGGCAGAGGGATTGTATTCAGAGTTATGGAATTGGGAAAAGGGAGGGACTGTTGAGGTATCAGAAAGAAGGAGTAAAGACTTGGGAGAGGAAAAAGGGAAAAAATGGAATGTGCTTCAGGGAAGTCGTCTTGCCTAGAGAGGAGTGAGATACAGGAAATCACATTATTTCCAGGCAGGGACAAGCTATCGTGCTCTTATAATTGTTTTGTCTTCAGTAATCCTCACCATCTAATGATGAACAAGAATGGTTATACTGGAGGGAACTGGCACACACTTGGCTTTTAACAAATGTCTGCTAAGAGGACCGAGAGTTGGAGAGAAGAGAGGGAGAATGAATTAAGATGTGTCATGTGTGTCTACCAATTTCCTGCAGAAGAGGTAAACATGTACTATAAAATAACAAATTTTAAAAATCAGTGTTCCCTGAATGGTTAAACTGAATGAATGAATGAATGAATGAATGAATGAATGAATGAATGATGAATAATCTAAAAGAAGGAAGATCCAAGTCCTACCTCCTTTAAAAAAAAATTAATTTATGTATTTGGTACAGGGTCTTGCTATGCAGCTCAAACTCATAGTGATCCTCCTGTCTCCGCCTCCTCAGGCTGGGATTACAGGCGTGCACCACCACACCTGGTTTCAGTGGCCAGCACAGCACAGGGCCGGCACAGCATGCGGTACTAGGGATCAAACCTGGGTCCTTGTGCTTGCCAGGCAGGTGCTTAGACTGCTATCTCCCCAGCCCCAGAAACTACTTCTGCTTGATACACTTGCTTGCTCTGATAATTTACAGAAGGTACCTAAGCCCACCAGTCTCACCTGTAAATGGGATTAGCATCCCCCCCACTTCTATCACAGCCAACTGACATCACAGATGGCCAGTGTGACCCTAGATTTTCTCCCCAGACCTGGGCACCCAGAGTCACCACGCAAGCGCAGGAGAGTTTCTAAACTCACGGGTTTGCTTCTTCATCTGCAGAGTGGGAACAATAAAAGGAACTTCTTTGGGTCATTGTGAGGATGAGCTCAACCTGGCACTCAACAAATGTTATTTTTCTTCCTGCTTCTCTTTTGTCTCATTTTCCTGTTTCTGCCTTTCATTTCATTTTTATTTTGTGGCGCTTAGACATGAGATCTAGCCTCTCAAAAAATTTTTAAGTGTGCCATATATTCCTGGTGACTAGCCCAGTGTCTGAGAGACATCCCGGGGAAACGAAAATCCACAACTTAAATTAGTTCCCCATTCAGGAAGTTACCTAAGCCTACATCCAATAGCAGTTCACTGTGAGATCATTTTTCCCAGTGGAATCCTTTGTATAGCTAAGTATATACTATATAAATGTATGTTATAT